CCCAGGCACACGGAGCCCTCTTTGAGGCCCCCCTTGTCTCACCAGAGAGGCTAATACAGCCTGGGATGACACGCGTGTCCAGCCAGCAGCGGGACAGACACGTCTGGGGGGTTGTGCACGGCATGCAACGAGCCGGGGACCACGTCGCCGCAGAGCACGCTGCGTGCACCGGCATCCTCCCTGTGGCCCTCGGAGGTTCCTGAGTATAGGCCAAGGACAGGCCATGTGTGAAATATGAAGGGAGAGATGGGCTGGAAAGAAGTCCAGGAAAGCTGGGCTTTCTGCTGCTTTCAGTTTCCTCCCAGACATGTTTACTGCGACGCTGAGGTTTTGTTCTCTGCGGGCAGCTCCCGCCCTCCCGATCAGGCTGATCAGCTTTGTCTCATGAGGCAAATGCTCTAGCCTGGCTACTTTCAAACCGTACCACTGCCTCTGCAGATAGGGCAGCTTTGGGATTTCTTCCCTACATTATTCCAGACATCATCCAGACATGATTTGGTTAATTCCTCCAAGGGGGAAGCCATTAGTGCAATGGGCCTTGTGCCCCTGTGCAGTTTCCCACAGATGGGGACGCAGCCCAGGACTAGTCCAGAGCTAGGTAGTTGCTTGCTCCTGTTGAGCGCTGCGGCCCCAACTCCTTCCCTATGACTCTCTCCAGGAGGCCAAGACCAGGCACATACTTGGGGACATAGACAGAGCTGCATATCCCATGTGGAATGTGCCTTTCCCTGATGGTCAGTCTGGTGACCCCAGGGGATCCCCTGAATGGAGGCTCAGGGGAAGAGAATGCAGCAAGGAGCCCATCACCCAGATTTCTCCAAAATGGCTACTGAATAGGCCTCAGTGGGATCCTTCTTCACTCCCTGTAGATCCTGACAGAGCTGCAACAGTGAGGCTACCACCTGTGCTCACAAGCTAGCTCCTCTCCTCCCCTTCTTATCAGCATATTCCTTGGCTGTGTGGCAAGGTGGGTCCTTGCTGGGGCTGGTCTGTGTATTTGCCACATACACTGTGCTGGCAAATGCTGGTGTAGTGGGAGCTCTGCGCAGTCCCATGGAGATGTGCGAGAAGGTGGCAAGGGAAGGACATGGACAGGAGCAGCATTAGGAGTTTCTCCCACCCCTTGGTAATGTTTCTAATAGCAGTGGGAATGTGATGGAGAGGGGCAGTCCCTTCATCGAGGAAGGCAGCATTCAAGAATGAGTTAGGACCTAAGCAGTTTTGAGGCCTGTCAGGGAAGCTCCAGCACACTCAGGTCTGCCTGTGACAGGCACTCCCCGGGGCCCCCATGGTTAAGCCTGCCTCTGCACCAGCTCTGAGCTGCCATGCCAGGTAATGTGCTTTAGGAGCCACTGTCAGACAGCCTCTGCAGCCTTGCTGCTGTGGGGAGTCGTCCCTGATCTTCAGCCATTTGCAGCTCATTTCTGGAACTTCTTCCAGTTTCTCAGGCTCCATTCACATCAGTGCTGGGCTGCCACACTGTGGGTGCTGGTTCTTGTGGGCTCTGGGCCCCTTCCTCTATCATCCAGGTGGATTTATGTCTTGGCAGGCTGGCTCATAGCAGGAGGATGCCAAGGCTTCAGAAGCTTCCTGGATGGGCAGTGTTATGAAACAGGTAAGGACTGAGCGTCTCTGCCTGCTACTCTCCAGGGAGTGGGCTCTGCGCGGCAGCTCCCGCCATGTGGTGAGGCACTCCCGTCTCCGGGAGTCAGGGCCATGTCAGAACAATGGGTGGAGAGCAGGAAACGCTGCATGGGAAACAGGATTTCGCTCCACCGCTGCCAGCCGTGGCCCCTTGGCCTCCTTCCTTTCCCTTGCCGAGCCCCGATCGAGAGAGCTCTTCCTACTGTCGCCGGTCCCCCCAGCGCCTCTTGCAGCTGTCGCCCCGCCAGGGTTGGGAGCGTGCTGAGGGGCCGAGGATGCTGCCATGCAAACGGGCTCCAACATGAGATCTTCTTCTTGCGGGTGAGGAAGGGGGCTGAGGCACTCCCTGCCAGGCTGGTGGCGTCAGCATGGCTCTGGGTGCCTTGAATGCGCAGCTGTGATTCCTTCGGGGACGGCATCCCTGCTCCCCGACAGAGCGGCGGCCGGGGAACAGGCCTGGGCGACTCCTTTGCCACAAAGTCCTGCTCGTGCCGTGCTCTTCCCTGGGTTGCCTGCGCTGATCCCCTGGGCCTACTGGGATCCTGGCAGAAGCTGAGCAGGGTCCTGGGCACAGCGCTGTCCTCAGGCAGGGAATGGGGAGTCTCTTCCTTGCTGTGCCCTCAACATGAACACCAGGACGGCCTCCCGGCTCCTCCAGACCTCGAGCACCAGTGAGAAGGCAAGATGGGAGCTACGGGCAGAGAGTGAGAGCCCTGAGCCACCCCTCGTGGAGAGCGGATAGGGAGCAGCAGCCCTCCCGCAGCCCCTTCTCTCGCTTCCCGGACATGTCTGGGATTTTTTGACCCTTTCCAGACTCAGGACGCATTTTAAGGACATGGGACTCCAGATTTATATCCTACTTCTCCTCCCATGGCTGACAGGTAAATTCTTCTCCCTTTTTTCTTCTGCACCCAGGGAATAAGCCCCTTCCGCAGGGATGCTGTGTTGGACTAGAGAATGGAGGGTACTCAATGATACTGGGGATTAGAATGGAGCAGAGTTTTCTCTCTTCAGAGCTCACTGTGTGTAGGGATGAGCTTGGATGAAGGAAGAGACTAGAAATCCGCACCCTGCTGTCCAGATGGGCTCTGTATCAGCCAGGTGACAGGGAATGAGACTGTGCCCCAGGATAGCTCCTGAGCTGTGAAGGGGACAAGAAGGCTTGGGGAGGAGGTGTTTACATCTGGGATATGGGGCTTGTCGTGATTACTAACCCTGATGCAGGGCTGGGATGCCCGGTGCCCTTGCCCGACATGCAAGGACCGGGCCGCAGCTCCTGACATGCTCTTGTGCTCCCCATCCTAGGGGCCATCTTGGACATCACCCTAATTGCCAATGTGCAGAGCCAGTCCCACTCTGACTTCTTCCTCTCCTGTGTCATGGGAGAGCGGGATGTGAGTTACCTGCAGATCGAGAGGGACAACAAAATTGTGATGACACACCCCAAGACGGGCTTCCAGAATTACCGCAATCGCAGCAACTATGTCCAGGCCAGGGGCTTCTCCATGCCCGACCTAGTGGGGATCCTCTACTGCCTGGGCCGCACACCAACGGAGCAGGCCCAGGTGGTCTATGTGCACAACAGCCACAACGGTGAGTGGACTGGGGGCTGCTGGGGCGCTGGCGTGTCCCTACGTGAGCTTCTCCATGGGCGAGCTGGAGATGGCATGTGAGCAGTTACAGGCTTTTTCTCACAGACTCTGAGGTTTGCAGTCCTGGTGCAACCGGGGAAGGTGTTTGAAATCAGTTTGCTCAGTGGCCCTTTGCTTAGTGGGTAGCCACCACCTTGCCACAGGACCTCAAACACTTAAGCAGGACATGGGATAAGTGAATGACAACCCATGGGGCTAGTTGCACACAAGTGCCCGTAGTGAGCAGCATTCCTTTAGCTCAGTGAGATGTTCATGTGGTGCTGCAATTTAATTGCAGATTAACTTGTGACATACAGGGGTGACACTTAGTCCAATAAAGTAGCATTTGCAGCTTCCCAGATATATGGGATGACTGTGATTTTCAACTGAGGAGTATGAAGGAGAGGAGGCTGAACTCTGAGGGCATTACACAATTTGCAGCAGAATTGTGAGGCACCTCTCTCAAGAAGGACTGCACGGAAGGGTAACCAGCCACATAGTAGAGATGAAAATTGTGCCCAGGTTCAGGCCAAGGTCCAAGTAACAGGAAGCTAGGCGGCTCTGGAGGAGAGAGTCTCTGGTAGCGAGGTTTGGCAATCATTAACCAGGAGGAGATTAGCCCATCACTGAGCAGCGCGTCCAGTCTCATGCCAGGAGGACCATGAAGGGGCTGACTCTGCCCAGCACCATGCCCGTGTACAGGAATGTAGCAGGTGCCAAGGAATCCACAGGCTCAGACTAAAGAAAAGGCACTGGGGGGACTCTCACTTGCGTGTTTGGGAGTGTAACTGTCTCTTGCCAGTCGGTGTGAAGGGACAAGCTGTGCTGGGGCTCACAGGGAGTGTGAAAGTGCACAAAGCAGCTTCCTGTGCAGAGACGTGTCACCTTTCAGTCTCCTTGGGGTAAGGTTGTGCCCGCCAGATCTGAGCATGGGCTTTGGTGAGCCCGAGGCTGCCAAGCGACTTGCAGCAGCAGGGCTTTGCGGCCTCCTGCCATGGCAAGAGGCATTGCCAGGGCTTGCAGGCAGTTTAGGCAATGGTGAGAGCTGGGCTCTTGCCTTCACGTTCCATCTCCTATTGTAAGCATAAAGGGCAGCCCTGGGCTAGGCTGCAGCAAGGGTAATGTCCACGTTTAACCTTGTCCAACACTGCCCCCTGCAACCTCCCTTTTTCAGGTGCATGAGACTGCGGAACTGTCAGGACTGAAATTTTCTGCATTAAGTAATTGCCTTAGGATGCTTTCTGGATCCTTTTCAGAAAAGTTCAGCTAAAACAGTCCACCTTTTGCTGAGAATGAAGTGATGAGACTACGAATTCTCTTACCTACACACAGTTTTACTATAATTTTCTTTTTTGAGAAGCTCTAGAATCTCCAGCTGTGGAACAGAGGTTGCGATAAGGAACAGAATTGTGGGGTCCAAGCATCCTCCAAAGAGCAGTGACCGGGGCTGTGTCCTTGGCCAGAAGTTTGACCTGAAAATGGCAGCAGTCATATCGGAAAGGGAGACGATTAGTCTGGACAAACAGAGCGCCAGAGAGGCGCCAGCAGAGGACAAACAGAGTCGGGGGAAGCATTAATGGCACACATAAAAGTGCATAGGAAAGGCTGAGTCCGCTGTGGAGTCCAAAGTATAGTATTGTATGTTAAAGAAGGCCTGAAGTTGAATCAGGCTTAGAAACTAACCCTATCGGTGATGGCTCTCTGCGAGATTTCCCTATCACCCAGCAGGATAAAGCAGGCAGAGGGTCACAGTAGAGATATCCACTGAGTCCAGAGGACAGGAGCAAGGAGGGGTGTCATGTCCCCATACATCCCTGGTAGAAATCATGGACAGAGATGAGACCCAGTTCACAGAACTGCTTTCCATGAGCTGCTCACTGACACCCTCTTGTACATGTTTGGGTTCAAAACCCCTGTGGGAGTAAGAAGAACCAAAAAAGAAGCTGCCATTGGTCTGTTTACTTTAGAGAAGGAGAAGTAACTAAAAATGAGGAAGACTGTTTAAAGGAAAAGGTAACTAAAAATGTTAGAGTGCCAGGTAAGGAAAACTTCTTGAAGGTTCAAGTGCATATCACCTCATAAAAAGGCAAAGAAAGACGAAAAGTGCATGTGAATCACTAAGTAACTGGAAGGGAAAGATGCTAGAAGCAAGCTGGTATCTTCCAAAAGGTTGTACACAAATGAAAAAGATAAAAAAAAAAAAAGGGAAAGAAAAGAAAATAGAATAGAAGAAAATAGGAAGGATCCTAAGCTTTGGAAGGCTTAATGCAGAAATACAATAAAATAGACCATGAGAGAATGTAAGGGGCAATTTATGAAGATTCTAAATTGACGATACATTATTTTTCAAAATCTCAAGGTCAGAGATTCTCTCAGGCCACTGCAGTTTTTTGTTGTTGTTGTTTTTTAATCTCTGTATGCCATAGAGAATTCTCATAATGAAATCTAAATTTGTAGGG